CAAAACTGCACAGTTTAGAGTGGCCTTTCATTGTTCCCAGCAGAAGGTGCACCTGTGTAACGATCATGCTGTTTAATCAGATTTTTCATATGCCAAATCTGTCAGGTGAATGGATTATCTTGGCAAATGAGAAATGCTCACTAGCAGGGATGTAAACAAATTTGTGCACAGAATTTGAGAGAAATAAGCTTTTTTGTGCTGACGAAATATGTCAAGAATCTTTTATTTCAGCTCATGAAACATGGGACCAACACTTTACTTGTTGCATATATATTTTTGTTCAGCATATATATTTTATGTGTCTGGGGGGTTTATGTGTGTGTGTGTGTGTGTCTACACATATACAGTGGCTTGCGAAAGTATTCACCCCCTTGGCATTTTTCCTATTTTGTTGCCTTACAACCTGGAATAAAAAATGTTGGGGGGTTTGTATCATTTGATTTACACAACATGCCTACCACTTTGAAGATGCAACATATTTTTTATTGTGAAACAAACAAGAAATAAGACAAAAAAAAACAGAAAACTTGAGCGTGCATAACTATTCACCCCCCCTAAAGTCAATACTTTGTAGAGCCACCTTTTGCAGCAATTACAGCTGCAAGTCTCTTGGGGTATGTCTCTATAAGCTTGGCACATCTAGCCACTGGGATTTTTGCCCATTCTTCAAGGCAAAACTGCTCCAGCTCCTTCAAGTTGGATAGTTTCCACTGCTGTACAGCAATCTTTAAGTCATACCACAGATTCTCAATTGGATTGAGGTCTGGGCTTTGACTATGCCATTCCAAGACATTTCAATGTTTCCCCTTAAACCTCTCAAGTGTTGCTTTAGCAGTATGCTTAGGGTCATTGTCCTGCTGGAAGGGGAACCTCCGTCCCAGTCTCAAATCTCTGGAAGACTGAAACAGGTTTCCCTCAAGAATTTCCCTGTATTTAGCGCCATCCATCATTCCTTCAATTCGGACCAGTTTCCCAGTCCCTGCCGATGAAAAACATCCCCACAGCATGATGCTGCCACCACCATGCTTCACTGTGGGGATGGTGTTCTCGGGGTGATAAGAGGTGTTGGGTTTGCGCCAGACATAGCGTTTTCCTTGATGGCCAAATAGCTCAATTTTAGTCTCATCTGACCAGAGTACCTTCTTCCATATGTTTGGGGAGTCTCCCACATGCATTTTGACGAACACCAAAGATGTTTGCTTATTTTTTTCTATAAGCAATGGCTTTTTTTTGCCACTCTTCCGTAAAGCCCAGCTCTGTGGAGTGTATGGCTTAAAGTGGTCCTATGGACAGATACTCCAATCTCTGCTCTGGAGCTTCATAGCAAAGGGGGTGAATAAATATGCACGCACCACTTTTCCGTTATTTATTTTTTAGAATTCTTTGAAACAAGTAATTTTTTTCATTTCACTTCACCAATTTGGACTATTTTGTGAATGTCCATTACATGAAATCCAAATAAAAATCAATTTAAATTACAGGTTGTAATGCAACAAAATAGGAAAAACGCCAAGGGGGCTGAATACTTTTGCAAGGCACTGTATACATTTTTGGGTTTTGGGGGGGGGGCACCCAAATTTCTGCAGTCCCACCCACCAACGAATTTCTGGCTACACTACTGGGCTAAATTACTGCTATTTGACAACACCATGAGAGTCATCAACGTTGACCTTTACGATGTCTGAATACAAAGTTATATGTTATATAATCCTCCAACTTTTTTCAGTGCAACTATATGGATATGTGTTAAATGGAAGAGCAAAAACTTTTAATTTGGTCATATATGTGAAAACCTTTTTGATTTTTGTATGACGTCAGGTGCCTAGTTAAGGAAGCATCATGCAAAAATATATTGGCACACTCCACTTAGACCATGGGTAACAAATTAAACCAAGCAGTTGGATGGTTTAACAATCTCCCTCTGGTGGCCAAATTGACCTGTTGAACAAATGCAATTGGATGATGGCCGTTTAAGGTCTCTGATAGGCTCATTCATTATTTCGTTACCGGATATAATTATCTGCTCAGCTGGTCATCAACATCATGGCTAATTTGGCCAGGTTGGCATATGAGAAAAGCTAGCAGCTAGCCATTTTAGACCAATGGTTTAAACCATGGTCCAAGCATAAGTTCACAAGTATGGCCCCTCTATATTAAAACAGCTTTTGTCTCTTAGTAGGTAATTAAATAAGACCACTAAATGTAGCACTTTATGATATGATATCAATGTCATTTCTTTCTAGCATGAGACAGCTTGACGTACAAGTACACTTTCTATCAGAGAGGAAATTAATCAATGTAATTGAAGCTTCATTTAACTGTGTTCAACTCTGACAAGATATCAACGTATATGTTAAACAAATTGGATGGCAAACAGAGAGTTAAAAGACTGTTCAAGCAATATCTGTAAGTACCTGTAATCTGGCTGCGCTGCCTTTATTTGAACCTACCTGCTGGAATGAGGAGACGCTCTTATCCAGAGCGATTTATAGGAGCAATTAGGGTTAAGTGCCTTGCTCAAGGGCACATCGGCAGATTTTTCACCTAGTCGGCTCGGGATTAGAACCAGCGACCTTTCGGTTACTGGCACTACGCTCTTAACCACTAAGCTACCTGTCATGAGTGTAAGAGAGAGTATGGAGACTCTCTGAGTAGTATGTGTGTCTGTGTATGGTAGCTGGCTCAACTTATGGCCTGAGTCCCAGTGACGTACGGCCCAGTACATCACTGGGGCAAAGCTTCCTCCCATCCAGGACCTCTATACCAGGCGGTGTCAGAGGAAGGCCCTCAAAATTGTCAAAGACTCCAGCCACCCTAGTCATAGACTGTTCTCTCTGCTACCGCACGGCAAGCGGTACCGGAGTGCCAAGTCTAGGTCCAAAAGACTTCTCAACAGCTTCTACCCCCAAGCCATAAGACTCCTGAACAGCTAATCATGGCTACCCGGACTATTTGCACTGCCCCCCCACCCCATCCTTTTTACGCTGCTGCTACTCTGTTAAGTATTTATGCATAGTCACTTTAACTCTACCCACATGTACATATTACCTCAACTACCTCAACTAGCCGGTGCCCCCGCACATTGACTCTGCAACGGTACCCCCCTGTATATATAGCCTCCCTACTGTCACTTTATTTTACTTCTGCTCTTTTTTTTCTCAACACTTTTTTTGTTGTTGTTTTATTCTTACTTTTTTTGTTTAAAATAAATGCACTGTTGGTTAAGGGCTGTAAGTAAGCATTTCACTGTAATGTCTGCACCTGTTGTATTCGGCGCATGTGACCAATACAATTTGATTTGATTTGATTTGAGTCTGTGTCTGTGCGTGTTAATGAGAGAGTATGGTTAAGGTCCTGGTAGCGAGATGTTACCGTCTTGTTCCATAGAGTAGTGGTTAGTAGTTACTTGCCCCCTACAGTGGGTTCAGTGTGAGGTGAGAGTGGTTGCCATGGACTGTGTGACGCTGTTCCCAGAGTTTCCTTTGGAAGAATGACAGGAAGCAGACGTAATGCCCTCATGGAAACTGGAGAGGGAAGCACATTCGCCCACTGTATGGGATCCAGGTTGGCTGTGAAAAGCAGTTCCCTTGAAAAGCATACTGTTTAGGCATGATTTAAATTGTGAAAAGGCATCTTATTTACATCATGTTGCACAATGTGAGAATATATTTCCTATCTATCGATGAGAAACTGGAAGCCACACTATTAGTTCATGCATATTTTATTCAAGAGTAAAAAATGTGATTTGTCCCATAGGGCATGCTTACAATGTGTGCATCGTTTAGGAAGTCAAATGCCAAAACTTAGTTCCAGAGAAAATTACAAGAAAAATTGTCACAAGTTAAAATCCATGAAATTCCTTCTTCGAAATAAACCATGTCTAGACCAAACAAGGATCAGAAAACTGTGGGGGAAAAACTTTAAGCTTAATCGTTAGAATCATAAGAATAAGAATTTCATCAAGAATTATAATGAGAATATATATTTTTCCTTTTAAAAGAAAGTGAGAAACAGGATTTTCCTTATGTCCAATTTGTTTACATTTGAACAAACCATGCGATCATGCTTTGGTAGCCTGAATGTTGCTTATCACTGAGTAATACGTTCATTCACACTATTGAACAACTTCTGTACACCAACAGAACAGAAAAAAAGAAGGCTTCACACCTTAAAATGAGCATCTGTGCCTGTGGAGCAAAACAATATAAAAATACAAATCAACAGTAATAACATTTAAAATAATATTGATGAAAAACAAATCAAAGGAAGCAAGAATGAAAAATGATATATAAAAAACAAAAGATAACTTTGAAGAGGGAAATAATTCAAGTCTACTATATTGAAACACATCACAATAAAAATTTCATATATCAATAAGGAACTTAATTGCATGCATTGATGCGTTCCATAACGTAGATGCTGTTAAAAATCATTGTCTTTGTTATCGTCCATCTTTATAATTCATTATATATATTAGATTTTTTTTTACTGCGACAGCAGATTTGACGTACCATGTGCATTCTCTCTCTTTAGTTACAGGCAAGTGAAAAACAATCAGGTACGGGGTGACAGAAGGTAGACCCGAGCTGGGACTGCAGCACCTAAACAAGACAGACTGTGGCTTTGGTTGGTGGAGAGGCCACAGCCAAGCCCACATTCCACCCCTACCCCCTTCCCCTGCAGGCTCATGGCGTCTTACCACAAAATAAATCAGGAAAGAAAAGTTATCAGGTAAGATTGCATTGCAAGTAGTAAAATGTACATCTTTTTTCTTTTCAAATGCCCTTTCTTACAAACAACATTTTGTCTTTTTGTATTTGTATACATTACTACTAGTAGCAAAACATGTTGAGTAGCGAGATTATTTCTGTATGAGATGAGTTCATGAGTGAAACTCTCAATCAAAATAGTAAAATGTGTGTGTGGCATGGGTACTGTACTGGAGTGTCTCGTATCAGACCCTTTGAGGATGTAGCAGACATGGGAGAGAGTTCGGGACTCTAAACCTCGCCCACTCGGTCTGTGATTGGACTGAGAGAGGGAACAGCAGACACACCCACAGGACCACACCCCTGGTTCTCATCCCAACAAGGTCCCCTGCATCCTGCCCCACTCGCCTCTCCTCTCCTCCTCCATGTCCCTTCCCTAAACTCTGACCCCACTAGCCCCTCCCAATCCACAGACCAAAGAGCGGGAAAACCTCCCCTTCTGAGCTCAGTTCCCCCATGTGGTGACCTGGCGTCAAAAAATATACCACCTTACCCATTTGTACAAGAGATTTAACATTTGATTAGTTTCTCTAATTGGATGTAGGAGCAGCAGCGGCTGATGCAGATGTTGTGTTGTGTCTGTGGGTGTGTTTTGTTGTATCTTTATTCTGAGGCCTGATATCACGATTTGGCGATGTCTTGCCGCACAGCGCAGCAGTGGCATGGGCTCTGGGGCAGGCCTCAGCATCACTGGATGTTGCTGGTGTCATTGTCATTGTCGTCCGTGCCGTTGGCCTCGGACATGTTCATCTTGCCCATGGACTGTCCCACATGGTTGACCCCGACTCTGCGGGGGGGCATGCGCTCGTTGATACGGTCTAGCCCCTTGGCTTCTTCGAAGCTGGCGATCTTATGCTGGGGAGAGAATCCACGGATGGCTGAGGGAGGGACAGGTGGGAGGAGAGAGGGGACACACAGGGGATGTCAATAATAAACCTTGATTTTAAATCCTTTGAAATACCTCTTTGTGCACGCTCAAATTATAAAATATTATTGGTAAGTACCATACTTGGCCCAAACGTAATAGAACATTACACAATATTTCAGTCACTTAAACATAGCGTTCTCATGTCACACAGCAGTAAAAGTTAGCATTGTGAATTCAAAGATCATTTGACACAAGTCTAGAAAGACAACATCCGAACACAGCTTAGAGTAAGATAAAGAATAGATAATGAATAGATTTAATTGTGGACAGAGTGATACCAGAACCCTTTGGATATTCACAGGCTCATCTAAGAGAAACATCTGAGAGAATGAATGAACGACTCTCACACAGCCACTCAGAGAAACCATGGCTATAATAGCACCCTCCTGTCCTGTATTAGAATGACACCCTTGTTTACTACAATAGCACCCAGCACCCTCCTTTACTAAAATGGCACCCTTGTTTACTAGAATAGCACATTCGTTTATTAGAATAGCACCCTCGTTTACTAGAATATCACATTTGTTTATTAGAATTGCACCCTCGTTTACTAGAATAGCACATTTGTTTATTAGAATGGCACCCTCCTTTACTAAAATGGGACCCTTGTTTACCATAATAGCGCCCTCCTTTACCCGAAGGGCACCCTTCTTTTACTGTTGTTATTATTATGCATCATGAAGCCAACATGACATTACACTAGCAGCTACATGGCATAAGCATGACATACTACATACCAGAGGAGGCTGGTGAGGGGAGGACGGCTCATAATAATAGCTGGAATGGAGTCAATGGAATGGTATCAAACACATCAAAGACTTGGTTTCCATGTGATTGATACCACTCCATTGACTCCATTCCAGCCATTATTATGAGCCGTCCTCCCCTCAGCCGCCTCCACTGCTACATACGTAGTCCTGATAGTGTGTTAGTTCATGCCCGTTCACTTAACCCTGTCGTGATGCAGGCAGTTGTTTAACTGTAGCTGTCAAATGGGCATTAAGTGTCCAGGGACTCTATGGTTCACACAGATAGCATCACGCTCATGATACCATTCAGTTGACATCATGATGCATACTGTATTTCAGCCATTGCGCTCGCCTGTGTCCTGTTCTCCCTGCATGCGATGCATCTTCGAACCAGATGGGGGCGGAAGATAAGCCAAATCCCAAAAATTAAAGAAGGAATCATGCCTGAGCATAAAAAGGTACCCAAAACCATCATGCAGCTCTTGGTAGCACCTCACTTTGCATGGCTTAAATTACTTACATACAAATCCATGTGTTTATATGTACCGGTATATTTGTTTATATATGTGTGTTTGTATTTTTATGTAAGGTATCAAACAATCAAACTTGTGAAAAAGCTTTGTTTTTCATGAGCACACCATGTAATTATTGTAAGTTATATATCTTGACCCTTACATCATAATTTATATAGTTGAGATATTTACATTGATATCTCTTGTAATCAAGGTACTGCAAAGTTCCGTGCTACCCATTCTAAATCCAACTGTCCCCCTGAGATGTTTGATGCAGGCTGAATATGAACTGCTATTGTCACTGATGGGTAGTTGACCCAATGCATGTCCTGCAGGCAAGCCTGCTGAGAGGGGTGGGGTGGGGGACGCAGCTTTACCTTCTCCATCCTCAGTTTCTGTGTCGATGGCTTCGATGGCCTCGGTGGTGGCTGGGGGGGGAAAGGAGGGGAGCAGGTTACTTCTGACAAAGCCATGCAGATGCAGAATGCAGCCCCTGGCGGTAGGTAGGCAGCTAGCGAGAGACCAGCAAGAGACACATTTAACCCAGCAACACAGCCAGGCAGGCTGGATCAGAGGAGTGCCATGGACCAGCAGCCCACTCCAGTCTCTGTAGCACACAACATACTGAGTGACCAAAGGACTGATGAACAGCCCAGGGCTGGGCTAGAGTGACTCTGGAGGGCCACAGACACCTCACCCAGCTTTTCAAAGGGCAACTCGATGGGAGTAAATACAGGTGAGATTACTGTCTGTCTCTCTCTAGTGTCGAGCTATAGCTAAAGGGGGCAGAATCCGCAGTCCTGCAGAGTCACGGGTGGCTGCCCAAACCTGGGTCAGAAACAAAGGGACCAGAGGACGGATACGAAGACAAAGACCCAGGGAGAGACGGAGAGCGACGGAGACTGTGACAGAAAGAGAGTAAGAGTCACAGTGAAAGAAAGAGGAACGGATAGACTGGGGAGGAGGGGAGGAGAGAAGGATAGAAAAGCCCTGGCCTGGCTTGGGCCTCTTCCTCACCACTCTGTAGGGTCTGTTTGCCCCCGGAGAGCACCCCGCTGGGCAGCATGCCAGTAGGCGTCAGACCCTTCAGTGTCAACACGTTCTCGCTCTCCTCCCTGCAGGGCACACATCACCACACACAGGTCAGAGGGCATCCACAAAGTTCACTCATTTAGGCTTCTACTGTATAGCCACTCGATTGTAATAACTCTATATTCCATATTAGAGATATGTTCATGTATAACAGCTCATGTGACGTGAGGTGAAGAACGTTCTCACCGAAGCACTTTGAACATCGTGGCCATTTTCCCAATGGCGCGGATCTTGTTCCTGATCACCTCCTTCCGAGCTGCAGCTGCGTTGGCTAGAAAGAGGGAACACTCATTTTCAGATATCAGGAGTGAAGTCTGTGGGCCACATTGAAGTGATACATTTATATTCTTTACAGGTAATTCAAAGAGCCCCTCATAACAAACAAATACCCAGAGGACATTTAATATACGAATAACATGTTTTTAATTGTTTATCAGGATCTATGCCAGGGAGGGGAATGTGAGACACTATAGCGCTAATGGATTCTTAAAGGCCCAGTGCAGTCAAAAACTAGATTTTCCTGGTTTTATATATATTTCCACACTATGAGGTTGGAATAATACTGTGAAATTGTGAAAATTATGATGCCCTTTTAGTGTAAGAGCTATATGAAAAGACTGCCTGAATTCAATTCAATTAGTTAATAGACCAATAAGAAAGAGAGTTCCAAACCTTTCAGTTTTCCCCTCCCAGACAGTCCTAGCAAAATTCTTGCTTGAGAAATTGCTCTTTGCTAAGAAGCTATTTTTGTTTCTTTTTGACCAGTTAAGGTACTTAATTGTTACCCAGAAATGATTTGATATTGAGATAAAAAGGGCTGCATTGGACTCTTAACAGTACAGTATATGAGTGACTCACCGTCGAGGATCTCTTGGTCGTCTCCGTCATTCATGAGCTCGTCGTCAGAGCAGATGCTCAACACGTTCACCAGCATCTCTGTGACTGGAGAAGGGTCAAAGGTTCTCAGATGAGGGTGCTGCCATACATATTTGTTTATGATAAAATGTAGTAAGAGGGTAAATATTGAAGGACAAAGTCATCGCTTAGCGTATCAGTCTGAGAGCCCTGCCAGTGTCATGCTTAATGTTGGTATAGACTATGTTTGTATAGACTATCAAATTAAGATTATTCTCAACACAAACTTGGGGTCAGGAAATACATTTAAAAAATCAAAATGGGGTCCTCTGCATTTTCTAGTGTCAATTTGGGGTTGTGTGCAGAAAAGGTTGGGGAACCCCTAACTTAGGTCAATGTGATTAACCAGTATTAATCAGCACAGCACAGCACAGCAATTAGTCATTACACAAATACATGTGCTACTAATGAATGAGAAAAGGTGGTAGTGGTACCCTTCTCCCCCACAAAGGGCAGGGACCAGGTGAACACGTCCATGAAGTTGGGCAGCCAGTAGGGATGAGGGGAGCAGTTGAACTGCCGGATGTTCATCACATTGTTCTCATACTTCAGTACTGCAGCTGTGGAGGGAGAACAACAGAGAGGGTCACGTTAACATAAACATGTCTGCATCTACATGGATACACACATACTACACAAAATAATAATAAAATAAAATGGTATTTGTCACATGCGCCGAATACAACATGTGTAGACCTTACAGTGAAATGCTTACTTACAAGCCCTTAACCAACAATGCAGTTTTAAGAAAGAATACCAAAAAAAAAATCACACAAGAAACTACAATATAATATAATACAAAATAAAAGTAACAAATAATTAAAGAGCAGCAGTAAAATAACAATAGTGAGGCTATATACAGGGGGTACCGGTACCAAGTCAATGTGCGGGGGCACCGGTTAGTCGAGGTAATTGAGGTAATAAATGATGTACATGTAGGTAGAGTTATTAAAGTGACTATGCATGGATAATAAACAGAGAGTAGCAGCAGTGTAAAAGGGGGGGGGGGGGGTAGTAGTGCCTTGCGGTCGGAGGCCGAGCAGTTGCCATACCAGGCAGTGATGCAACCAGTCAGGATGCTCTCGATGGTGCAGCTGTAGAACCTTTTGAGGATCTGAAGACCCATGCCAAATCTTTTCAGTCTCCTTAGGGGGAATAGGTTTTGTCGTGCCCACTTCACGACTGTCTTGGTGTGCTTGGACCATGTTAGTTTGTTGGTGATGTGGACACCAAGGAACTTGAAGCTCTCAACCTGCTCCACTACAGCCCCGTCGATGAGAATGGGGGTGTGCTCGGTCCTCTTCTTTTTCCTGTAGTCCACAATCATCTCCTTTGTCTTGATCACGTTGAGGGAGAGGTTGTTGTCCTGGCACCACATGGCCAGGTCTCTGACCTCCTCCCTAAAGGCTGTCTCGTCGTTGTCGGTGATCAGGCCTACCACTGTTGTGTCATCGACAAACTTAATGATGGTCTTGGAGTCGTGCCTGGCCATGCAGTAATGAGTGAACAGGGAATACAGGAGAGGAATGAGTACGCACCCCTGAGGGGCCCCCGTGTTGAGGATCAGCGTGGCGGATGTGTTGTTACCTACCCTTACCACCTGGGGGCGGCCCGTCAGGAAGTCCAGGATCCAGTTACAGAGGGAGGTGTTTAGTCCCAGGGTCCTTAGCTTAGTGATGAGCTTTGAGGGCACTATGGTGTTGAACGCTGAGCTGTAGTCAATGAATAGCATTCTCACATAGGTGTTCCTTTTGTCCAGGTGTGAAAGGGCAGTGTGGAGCGCAATAGAGATTGCATCATCTGTGGATCTGTTGGGGCGGTATGCAAATTGGAGTGGGTCTAGGGTTTCTGGGATAATGGTGTTGATGTGAGCCATGACCAGCCTTTCAAAGCACTTCATGGCTACAGACGTGAGTGCTACGGGTCAGTAGTCATTTAGGCAGGTTACCTTAGTGTTCTTGAGCACAGGGACTATGGTGGTCTGCTTGAAACATGTAGATATACAGAAACAATACAGTAAAAATGACCATCAGTGTGTTGAGTGATACATTATTAAAGCCCTGTATGTCTTCCAGCTCACTGTTCAATATCAACATTCTCCATTTTGAGCCCACTTCTATATGAATGACGCAGCATGCGTTATTTTGCTGCAAGCATATGCATGAAAATAAGTTTGAAATCCTGTCAATTCCCAAGACGGCATAGTTTTTTCCCTCTCACACCAACGTTTAATGTCTTCAGTTGCAGACAGAACACGGAGCATCTGATGTGCTTCTTCCCCAGGCATATTCAGAGATTTTTGTAAAAACATTTAAAGCATGTATTTGAAACAGCAGTGGCTGATGCTAGCTAGCTCTAGGATAAGTATGACAATGCTTCCCTATGCTACTTCCACTATATACAGTATAAGCATGATATTTTAGTTTATTCTCTTGACAAACAGATGCTATAGGCTATAGGAAGAAACCTTTTTACTAAAAGATGTAACACAATCCATGACATCTAAAAACACACCATTTCTTTTAATAACTTTATAAAACACCGCCACAATGAAAAATATGTAATAATCATAAAATCATACCAAGAGCAGAGCTCTTATAACACAATGGCTCGTAAGTGGCAAGGAGATACTAGGCTGGAGCAACATGGGGGTGCAGATCTTGATATGTTTGTGTGGGTGTGTGTGAGAAAGAGACAGACACAGAAACAGACAGAGGCAGAGACAGAAACGCACACAGACAGAGGCAGAGACCGACAGAGGCAGAGACCGACAGAGGCAGAGACCGACAGAGGCAGAGACCGACAGAGACCGACAGAGACCGACAGAGACCGACAGAGGCAGAGACCGACAGAGGCAGAGACCGACAGAGGCAGAGACCGACAGAGGCAGAGACCGACAGAGGCAGAGACCGACAGAGGCAGAGACAGACAGAGGCAGAGACAGACAGAGGCAGAGACAGACACAGAAACACAGAGACAGACAGAGGCAGAGACAGACCGAGACAGACACAGAAACAGACAGAGGCAGAGACAGACAGAGGCAGAGACAGACACAGAAACACAGAGACAGACAGAGGCAGAGGAAGAGACAGAGTGAGAGGGAAACAGAGGCACAAGAAGAAACAGAGACAGGCAGAGACACATAGAGAGAAAGGAGATGAGAGGATCAACCACTAGGTGCCCCTCTTGAGCCCCAGAAGTGCTATTACAGTTCCATCAGGAGAGATAAAGCCACATGGAGATAGTCAGTCATACCGACAGTCCCTCCCACGCTCTCCCCATGTCCCACTATCCATCTCCACAAGCCACACATTGAACACCACCCACCAACAAACACTTGTTCCAGCATACATTCACTACAAGTATTTACTGGTTCACATAGACTCATACAGTAGCACTACAAATACATGGAGCAGATAGACTGACCTTTGTTGTTGTAAACATCAAGGTAATTTGGCGCTGAGAAGATGGTGATGAGGGAGGGGAAGCCGGTGGTCTGGCTCTTCCGGTACATCCGGTAGCTATAGGAAACCAACAGATAGAGAGTGAGAGGTGTTTTCAAGTTAATAATCTGGATAAATCATGAATTGTATCAAAGCTACTGAAAAGTGTGAGAGAGAGAGAGAGAGAGCGAGAGAGCGAGAGATGTAGGGGTACATACCCAGCATCTTGTGCTTCATGTGCTCGGATGACTGATAATAAGTTATTGTTCTGTAGGAAATCACATACAGCTGGATAACTACAAGGCAGAAAAGAGAGCGATAGAGGGTTTAGGGATGTCATATATACATTCACACTTTTTGACACATATCACAGAGCAACACAGCCTGACCTATAGAACCGAACAACATGCCGAACGCAGAAGTATTGTGTAACAGAGCATACACATTCAATTCAACTGAATACACAGTGCCAAAACATTATTTTCTGCATATTACATTCACGAAACAGAGCATGACTGAGCATGACACCCCTGGTCCAGACACAGAGTAGAACATTGACATTGTCCTACAACAAAACAGTGCAGAGCATCACTGCTCAGCATGATGTAAGACGTACCAGCCCATCCCAGCCCAGCACATGGCTCACAGATCACCCAAAGCAACTTAATGCCACTCACTGGGCCTTAAAAAACACAACAAACCATCATGTCAGCTCTCATTTGACGGCTAACTGGCTGTCAGTTCTACCCGATAGGAAATGTGTTAGGATTGGTACATTTTCCCCTCCTGTAGGCATACTGTTAACGAGATGGCCTGCTTGACGGCATTGGTCCTCCACCTCTCTCTCTTCCCTCTACACAGATCACTCCTTCCCTTGTAGCTCTCCCTCTTCCTATCACTCGCTCCAGTTTGGGCTGGAGGAGTGAGTTGTCATAGCAACAGCTCATTGCAGAGCCCCAGGGGGATTGTGGGATAGATGGCAGTGTTGAGTTGATACTGGCCCTTCTTTTATTCCACGCTCGACTCGGCTCACCCACGGTGCATTTCAACTGCCTGGTTTGGAGTAGGAGATCCCTATGTACTTGTCTACTCCCCCTCTCATCTCCTCTACATTACTCTCCTTTAACCTCACAACCCCCACTAGCACTGATACAGATTCAGCTTGATTCCATTCCAATTCCTGAAGCTCCAATTGTACCTCTCAATCTATGAGCTTAACAGATGTTAAGAAGCCAGGATGTGTATATGGTTAATAATCATAGTATGTGTAGGCTTATAGTAAAATCTATTTAAATCAATTTCCCAAGACTTCATTGTTTTTTCCCTCTCACACCAATGTTTCATGCCTCCAGTTGCAGACACAAAACGGAGCATCCAATGTGTTTCTTCTGCAGGCATATTCACAGGGATTGAAAGAACCAAACAAGGTGCTAATTTTGAAAAAAGCATGTCTTTGAAACAGCAGTGGTTGATGCTAGAAGGGCACGATTAATGTAGGAGCTTACTGGGGCTGACGCCCTTGGGCCCAGGTCCGTGGGGAGCCCAAGAGGCAGAAAAAAAGAAGAAATTATTAAGGAAAGATATACTGTATATATTATATGTACAGTATATATTATATACAATGCCTTCGGAAAGTATTCAGACCCCTTGACTTTTTCCACATTTTGTTACGTTATTATTTTGTTACATTATTATACATTTTGTTACGTTATATTATTATTCTAAAATGGATTACATTTATTTTTCAATCTACACACAAAACCCCATAATGACAAAGCGAAAACGTTTATTTTTTAATGTTTGCAAATTTATTAAAAATAAAAAACTTAAATACCTTATTTACATAACTATTCAGACCCTTTGCTATGAGACTCGAAATTGAGATCAGGTGCATCCTCCAACTTCATTGGAGTCCACCTGTGGTAAATTCAATTGATTGGACATGATTTGGAAAGGCACACACCTGTCTATTGAAGGTCCCACAGTTGACAGTGCATGTCAGAGCAAAAACCAAGCCATAAGGTCGAAGGAATTGTCTGTAGAGCTTCGAGATAGGATTGTGTCGAGGCACAGATCTAGGGATGGTATGAAAACAATTCTGCAGCAATGAAGGTCCCCAAGAACACAGTGGCCTCCATCATTCTTAAATGGAAGAAGACTCTTCCTAGTGCTGGCCTCCCGGCCAAACTGAGCAATCGGGGAAGAAGGGCCTTGGTCAGGGAGGTGACCAAGAACCCGATGGTCTCTCTGATAGAGCTCCAGAGTTCCTCTGTGGAGATGGGAGAACCTTTCAGAAGGACAACCATCTCTGCAGCACTCCACCAGTCAGGCCATTATGGTAAAGTGGCCAGATGGAAGCCACTCCTCAGTAAAAGGCACATGACAGCCCGCTTGGAGTTTGCCAAAAGGCACCTAAAGACTCGCAGACCATGAGAAACAAGATTCTCTGGTCCGCTGAAACCAAAATTGAACTCTTTGGCCTATATGCCAAGCGTTACGTCTAGAGGAAACCTGGTTCCATCCCTACTGTGAAACATGGTAGTGGCAACATCATGCTGTGGGGATGTTTTTCAGCAGCAGGGACTGGGAGACTAGTCAGGATCAAGGGAAAGATGAACGGAGCAAAGTACAGAGAGATCCTTGATGAAAACCTTCTCCAGAGCGCTCAGGACCTCAGACTGGGGCGAAGGTTCACCTTCCAACAGGACAACAACCCTAAGCACACAGCCAAGACAACGCAGGAGTGGCTTTGGGACAAGTCTCTGAATGTCCTTGAGTGGCCCAGCCAGAGCCTGGACTTGAACCCGATCGAACATCTCTGGAGAGACCTGAAAATAGCTTTGCACGATGCTCCCCATCAAACCTGACAGAGCTTGAGAGGATCTGCAGAGAATGGGAGAAACTCCCCAAATACAGGTGTGCCAAGCTTGTAGCGTCATACCCAAGAAGACTTGAGGCTGTAATCGCTGTCAAAGGTGCTTCAACAAAGTACTGAGTAAAGGGTCTGAATACTTATGTAAATGTGATATTTCCGTTTTTTTAAATTATTTTTATACATTTGCAAAAAAATCTAAAAACCTGCTTTTGCTTTGTCATTATGGGGTATTGTGTGTAGATTGATGAACGATTTAATCAATTTTAGAATAAGGCTGTAACGTAACAAAATGTGGAAAAAGTCTAGGGGTCTGAATAATTTCCGAATGCACTGTATGTAGTATATCTTTTTTATTTTTTCACTGCAACTGCCAACCCCAGGAAGACTCAGGAGCCCGATCTCAATGAGTGTAGACAGCCTGGGGCCTATGATTTCTTAATCCGGCCTTGGATGCTAGCTAGCTCTCTGATAATTATGACAGTGCTTCCCTATGCTACTTCCACTATATACAATAATATGCCATTTAATAATAATATGCCATTTAGCAGACACTTTTATCCAAAGCGACTTACAGTCATGCGTGCATACATATTTGTGTATGGGTGGTCCCGGGGATCGAACCCACTACCTTGGCGTTACAAGCACCGTGCTCTACCAGCTGAGCTACAGAGGACCACAATGAGATCATCAACAGAAAAAAGAGAGACTACAATCAGCATGAATAAAACATGCAAATTGCTGTTGTAAATGATCAAAATCTGAAAATAAAAGATTACTTTCACAATGGTTATAAACTATTGTTATGCACACACTGATGACTCAAGCCTACATATTGATTGACCCAAATGTGCTGCAGTTTTTTAATCCATGGCTCAGTTGGTCAGAGAAGGGGGTCTCTCATTCCTGTGTCAGATTTGGCTACTGAGGTGTTTCTCTGGACCACTGTAGTGGTAAAACCTTCAGGTGCTGAAACCTTAGCGTTACAGGGGGACTGATGAGACGCATTACTGAACTGTTCCCCGAAGACACTATTGTCCTCACTGACAAACCAGACCATAGGGCTTTCACCTCATCATATCAAAACAAGCTCAGTCCACCACCTAACAAGGATGCTGGGTGGGACTACATTCAGTGTTATGTGGCTGTCTGATAGTTCCCTTAATGTATTGCTGTGGTCAGTCAGAATGATACAGTCCACAAAAGGACACAAAGCCTTTTTAAAACATGGACATAAGTTAGCTGAGATCCACCAATACCACCTACTATCACCAAGGATACTATATGCCCCCTCTCAAACTGACAGACCAATGACCTGAGGTGTGCACTTGTTTCTGTGTGTAAAAAAAGCCTCTAATGAGTATTCACCTACCACAGCCATGTATTATACCAAAATCTCCATCCATTCCATCCTACCACCACCATCCCCTCTACCCCTCCCCACAGCCACGCCCCATCTAAGTTGTCATCAGCGTGTGAAATATTTAAGTGTTCAAAGATTTGCGCAGGAAAGAAAAAAACCAGAATAATGGCCGTGCCCTGAGCTCCTGGAGAGCCTACGGTATGCAGCCCCTATACATCCAAGGCTTTCCGCCCAAATTCCCTCGGCACCCAGAAAGTAGGTCAGTGCAGCGGCTGCATCTCACACAGACATGACATATGATGCCACACACTATGGCTGACAGGATACAGAACCACGGCAACACAGATGCACATTGGGGGTGTGTATTGTATGTACGTGCTGTATGTCCCTGTGTGTGTACAATTTGAGATAGGATTCATGCTGTTTGGTTTGGAGGTAATTGTTTGGTCGACAGATCAGAGAGTGATAATTGATGGCTTAAAAACATGAGGAATAGTTATGAAAGAAAGAAAGTGTTGAGGTGGAGAGAGAGAGAGCTGACCTGTAGAAGTAGGAGCAGCCTCGGACTGTGTTGTGGCTGAAGTACTCCTGGGTTTTCTCATTGCCAAAGTCCTCCAGAGGGTCAGACCACAGTAGGTCACACATGGGCCCAAACGCTGGAGGCTCCTTGAACCGGTCTATCTACAGCAGAGAGAAACATACTGAATTCAAACACAAGCAAACACGCAAATATTCGAACACAAAAACAACGATCACTCACGCACACAGGTAAGCACGCTCGCAGGTACGCACGCATGCACACACACAAAGTGCTGTACTCAAGTATACAAAGACATGAAACACAGTTCATGTGATTTTCCTATGCATGGCTTGTCAGTGCCATGGTGCTGGTTCAGTACCTTCTTTATGTCATCTAAGGTGTGTATTTCTGGTGAGAGTCCTCCGTGGACACACAGAAACTGCTGGTTCATGAGGGCAGCCAGGGGAAGGCAGTCAAAAGCGTCCATGCATGAGTCATACACCTGCTCCGAGTACTTGATTTTACCTGTCCACCACAGAGAGCGACAGACAGAAACAACTGGATCAGTACAATGATACAGACAGGGACCTCAGGGACCACATTCATCATCCATCAAGGTGGAATCCTGATGTGAGATATGGGCTAATAACTTCAATTGTTACATAAGCTGTCCATTGACATTAATGCATGATTCACACGTAAGAGAGATTTCAGCCTGGAATAGATACTCCAAGTAAGAACAAACACAAGATCTCACACTCAAGAACATTTACATTTTAGTCATTTAGCAGGCACTTTTATCCAGAGCGACTTACAGTAGTGAGTGCATACATTTTTGTACTTTTTTCATAATAACATCCAACCATCCTCTCTCAAGAAGATATACTGTATTGTGTGATCCAACTGAGCAGAGAAGAACAAGATGACTCCCATCATGCACTTCTCCGTGGATGTATCGAGACCCAGAGAACACCTCTACCTTCTGTCCTATTCCTTCCCATCTCAGGGATCTCTGATATTCATCACAACACCTTCTTACCCTTCTCCCAAGGCTCGCTCTGTTTCATCTTTGTTTGTGTGTGTGTGTGTGTGCATGTATGCCATGCAGTGTTTTTTCATTAACTCCTAATCCCCAACCTTTCACAGCATTGGTAACCATGGTGATGTGCCACCGGAGAAGATACAGAAATAGTTTCCAGTCAACTCTGCTGCAACTCTCTCAGGTATACATGTCCTTGAAGCCTCCTGCCTGCTCCTCCTCATGGGAGACCTCCACTCTAACCACCCATCCACTACTTATCTCTAATGTGGCATGCTTTCGTTTTTCAAGAATCATTTCATAGCCTCTCAAGGAACAATGCATGAGATGACACAGAAAGAAATAGAACATCTCTGGAGAGTACTCACATTCTTGTTTGAAGGTGAAGTATTCTGTCAAATGTCTACATTCGTGGTTTCCTCGCAGTAAAAATAGCGTCTTTGGGTAGAGGATTTTCAGCGACCAAAGGTACAAAACACACTGTCAAGAGAGTAGATAAAGGGTTATTAGCTAGGGTTATTAGCTCAGTTTACATACACACAAATACGCACAATGATCAAATACACAGTTCGGGACCTAAGAAAAAAGGCCTGCACCAGGCTGCAGCTTGACGATAACAAAATTAACATTATATAACATGACATGGGATATAAAATCAGACTGTATCACGATCAATGACTGCCTTGAGCTCAAACCAGAAAAGGCCTAAAATTGACCTTTATTTGAAAAATATAAACGCAACACGCAACCATTTCAACGATTTTACTGAGTTACAGTTCATATAAGTAAATCAGTCAATTGAAATAAATTATTTAGGCCCTAATCTATTGATTTCACATGACTGGGCAGGGGCGCAGCCATGGGTGGGCATAGGCCCACCCACTTGGAGCCAGGCCAACCCACTGGGGAGCCAGGCCTAGCCAATCAGAATGAGTTTTTCACCCACAAAAGGGCTTTATTACAGACAGAAATACTCGGCTGTCTGGGTGGCTGGTTTCAGACGATTCCGTAATTGAAGAAGCTGGATGTGGAGGTCCTGGGCTGGCGTGGTTACACGTGGTCTGCAGTTGTGAGGCCGGTTGGAGATACTGCCAAATTCTCTAAAACGACGTTGGAGGCAGCTTATGGTAGAGAAATGAACATTAAATTCTCTGCCAACAGCTCTGGTGGACATTCCTGCAGTCAACATGCCAATTGCACGCTCCCTCAAAACTTGAGACATCTGTGGCATTGTGTGACAAACTGCACATTTTAGAGTGGCCTTTTATTGTCCCCAGCACAAGGTGAACCTATGTAATGATCATGCTGTTTAATCAGCTTCTTGATTTGCCACACCTGTCAGGTGGATGGATTATCTTGGCAAAGGAGAAATGCTCACTAACAGCGATGTAAACAAATTTGTGCACAAAATCTGAGAGAAATAAGCTTTCTGTGCGTACGGAACATTTCTGGTATCTGTTATTTCAGCTCATGAAACATCGGACCAACACTTTACATGTTGCGTTTATATTGTTGTTCAGTATATATCAGATGAGGACCCCCAGCCATTGATTTGCTGACAGCTGATAAAGATAGTGTGCTAATCATGAGAATTAGTGTGGAGCCAGTCTGTTTGGGGATAATCAACCCTTCAGACCAGCGGGAGAGCCTTCCTTTATGCAAAGGCAACGTGTCAGCATCGATTGCATGTGATTGGATGATTCCTCCTTCCTCCTCACGGCAGATTCCGGGGGAAGCGCTGGTGTTTTTGCGGCGTTTCAGTGCACTATAGCTCCTCCTCACGCAGCGCAGGGAAGCAGCACAGCACACGGAGAGGCACAGGTAGGGAGGCAGCAGGACAGAGATGCCATTCGTCTCATTCCATGTGGAAACGGCAGGAATACCTCCAGTCTAAAGGCAGCCTATGCCTCAGCAGAGAGAATGAGCTCCTAATGGCTCCTATTAGGAAAGCCCTCCAGTCATAACCAACCAGGTAGAGAGATAATATAGGGGATTTATAACCTGGGGCAGAAGTCATCATTAACCAGCACCAGAGCGTGTGTCTTGTGTGTATCTCTGCAGTGTGTATTTGGTATATCTGTCTCTGTGCATTGGTTTAAATTGAGGTGTTGGATTAAACACTGATATAAGTACAGACAAAGATAGTTTGCGAGCACTAAGGGAAGAGGGTGTTTGGTGGGTGTCTCTTACCTCGATACTGAAGTATCCCCGGTCCACATAGTCTCCCAGGAATAGGTACCGCGTCGTGGCCGGCGAGCCACCCACCTCAAACAGCTTCATAAGGTCAAAGAACTGCCCATGGATATCCCCGCACACTGCAAAACATCACATCCCACACCATGAGAACACATGAACACATTATCACTGGGTCTGTTAGCAGTACATATAGTACACAGCAGGCATTTTATATATGATAAAGTGTGTGTGTGGTACTGAGAAAAAGAGAGTGCCTGTGTGATGCATGCTTTTCCTGTGTAAGTCAGACAGTAGAAGATTCATGCTGTTTCTCGGCTCAGTGATTTTCTCTGAGTGAGAGAGAGCGAGAGAGACAGAAAGAAAGAGAGAGAGAGAGAGAGAGAGCGATGAGAAAAGTTGCAAACTCCTGTTGCCACGGTGATATGATTTTTATGAGAATAAATAATGAAATAAATGGGAGTTTTTGTTTATCTCGCCCTCATGCGGTGTTGGCATGGAGATGCTGCCTGGGTGTTTGCCCCCAGAGGCCCCTCTCTCTACCCCAGTAGGAGGTGGGTGTGGCTCAGGGACCCTGGGCCTGGGGGAGGGAGCCTGGGAGGCTGGGACTCTGGCTGGCTGGCTCCAATCCCCTGGAGACAATAACAACTGGATTTTACAGCACCAACCTGCATCTAATTTCCCAATCTTTCCCCATCTCCTCTCTTTCATCATCACTATATTTCCCTCCCTCTCCTCCATCTGTCTGCCTCTGTCTCCCTCTATCAGCTCCACTGTGGCCTTCGCCCACTCAAAGCTCAGAGCAACGCGAGTGGGAGCCTCTGCTTGTGTGAGTAAAGCAATCAACACACACACACACGCTTGCACGCACGAATAGTATTTGCGCACCGCACATACAGTAGTACATGAATGCATAAATACACACACACATGCATTCATGCACACGTAAGACTAAGCACAGACATTCAAACACAGTGCTAGCAATAGCAAGGACACAGTAGTCTTACATAGAGATCCACACTTGCAACTCTATTCTTAAGAATGTCTATGCACTGATACACACATCATCATCCATATTTCATGCTAAATAAATAAAGCATATGACCCTCATTTTTGTGGCACTTGTTCACCAGAGGGTCAAAGGACTACTCCTGTACTCTAACTAAGGTATCCTGTCTCCATTTACCATCTCCCACCAATCAATCAACCATTTCATCAGTCTGTCCACCAATCACTCAGTCCCAGTTGGAGGAGCCATCTGTACAGTGGGCTATGTCTATTCATCATGTTTACAACTCCTAGTATACCTTGAAAACTAACACATGCTGCACAATGGCAACCAATGCCTTTCTCAGAGCAGGAATTAAATGAAAATGGGTACTGATACCAAATGAAACAAAAATATTTATAAGAACCTATGGCCCCTAATGTCGGTGATACACAGTGTTCCTATTTTAAACTCAATTATAGCACACAAACAAGGACAGGCAGGTACCCCCCATGTACAAATAGATTTCTAATCTCAATGGCATCACCTGTATAAACACAGGATAAATATACAATTGGCAGTTATCTGACAAAGCGAATTGGTCAGGTCTCACATTACAGCCCAGTCTAAGTGAACACTAGCTACTGATGTAATATGGTAAACTGTGAGTTCCTGTGTCCTCTACTGCCTTACTCCAGCCCTCCTCTTCCTCCATGGCCTTAGTATGGCAGGGGATTCAGACATGGGGGAGGGTAGAAAAGGCTGATGTGCACAGAACAGAACCTCTACTTCCACCCCCTCCTCTGTCTCTCTCTCTCTCACTCGCTCTCTTCCATTATCTCTCCATCTTTTTCTCTCTACTCCCATTATTTTCTTTCACTCGTTTCCCAGCCCATGATTACTATTTCTATCCCTTTCTCTTTCCCTCTATTTCTTTCCCTTTTCTGTAACTCTCTCACACCATTCTTCAATACCTTCCTTTCTGGAGGCAGTATTATGTAAGTTAGTCTGCATCTAGCATCCCATGAATACTGGTCTAATGACAGAGGCAAGATTAAATCCGATCACAATAAGGATGTGTATCTGAATGAACCAGCAATGTCCAATGAGTGAGTGTGCCTATGCTGTGCTGTTGTGTTTTCAGGTTTGTCTATGCGTGCGTGCGTGAGACTCGTGCCTTTGTGTGCGAGTTGTTTGTGTGCACGTGTTGTGAGTTAGTCTAACCCTCTGTTCATAATGACTTGGTAAGATAAGCCAAAATGAAGACGAAAAATGTATGCCTGAAAATCGTCTATTATTAATTTCAAGACCGTATCATAAAAGCAAGAAGCTTTGTGCATGCTTTAGTAACTGTCATGGTAAATAGGTCTACTTGCTATGTGATTAGACGTAATGGTAAATAGGTCTACTTGCTATGTGATTAGACGTAATGGTAAATAGGTCTACTTGCTATGTGATTAGACGTAATGGTAAATAGTTCTACTTGCTATGTGATTAGACGTAATGGTAAATAGGTCTACCTGCTATGTGATTAGACATCATGGTAAATAGGTCTACCTGCTATGTGATTAGACGCAATGGTAAATACTATTACTTGAATCATTGTTCCCCAGTACCATCAGAAAGCTATTTCACATGTCTATCTACAGCAAACACACACATAAACGCTCTCCGTCCTTCCGTCTCTCCGTCCCTCGCAATTGCTTCTAAACGGCTTCCCACGTTTACAATATCCAAAAGGTGCCTAGCATTTTGAAAGGTTATCTTAGTCCATTTGAGCCACCTGGGTGCTCCAGCAGGCAGGCAGCTGTGGCTGGGATGTGCTCATGCTCAGTGGTGTGGATGAGTCCGGACTGTCGGGGTGTTCAGCTCTACCATCACTGTGGGCTGGGTGGAGTCACTGTACAGTTCTGAATATAACTATTCTTCCCAGAAGGAGGGAACGAGGTTTAACATACTATGGGGAATCAACAACCAATCATATTCACCTGAAGAAAACTGAAATCACTCCCAACGGGCCAATGGATGCTGAGCCCGCCTTCGGAAGCCCCGCCTTCCTGGCTATAATACCGGGGCTCGCATTCATTTCCTCAATTCAGTGAGCCCAAATATGTGGGGACAAAATATGTTATACCTCGTTCCCTCCTTCAGGAAACAGTAATTATATTCATAACTGCACGTTCCCTTTCAGTCGGTCACTCGGAATAACATACTAGGGGACATACAGCTCAGAGGGTACCAAACTAGGAGGCCCACGGCAGCTCAAGCATACACAGGTTTCACCGACTCCAAAAAGGGGTTACAGAAGCCACCTTTTTCCCTAATACTTAACCAAGAAGCCTGAACTGTCAGAGCCTGATGAGGCCTGAACTGTCAGAGCCCCATATAGGGAACCAGAACCTGCTGCAACTTGGCTATGTGCACTGACACGCTGCCACTGCAGCCCAAGTCCATACACCCCATGGTTCCAAGAACAATACTTACCTTGTAAGCCTGAAATGTCAGAACTCGTACAAGGAATCGCAAGTCCAAAACAACAGAACACTGCATAGCATCAAACAGAGTCGATGAACCACGGCAGCCCGAGGCTCAAACCCAGAGGAAAACTGTGGTAACCCTGATAAATGTACAACCTCCACACTGCCTAACACCCACTCCCGGACCCAGCCATAAGAACACCATGAGCCACACTGGGAGCAGTTACAGCCAAGCGATAAAACCTCACAAAGGCATGTGGGGAACCCAAGTCGCTGCAGCATAGATATCACCAATCATCATGCACCTGAACAATGCGCAAGAAGCTGCCACACCCCTAGTGGAGTGAGCATGCATATCGCTAGGCAACCATTGTGGGGTGTAGCTCAGTTGATAGAGCATGGCGTTTGCAACGCCAGGGTTGTGGGTTCGATTTCCACGGGGGGGCCAGTATGAATAATAATATGTATTCACTAACTGTAAGTCGCTCTGGATAAGAGCGTCTGCTAAATGACTCAAATGTAAATGTAATAGCCTCCACAATGCAATGAGAAAGACGCTGCTTAGAAAGCGCCCTACCCTGAGCTGGATTAGCAAAAGCTGCTCACAATGCGGATATCCTTGGTCCTATCCATATACACTATATATACAAAAGTATGTGGACACCCCTTCAAATGAGTGGATTCGGCTATTTCAGCCACACCCGTTGCTAACAGGTGTATAAAATTGAGCACACAGCCATGCAATCTCCATGGACAAACATTGGCAGTAGAATGGCCTTACTGAAGAGCTCAGTGACTTTCAACGTGGCACCATCATAAGATGCCACCTTTCCAAGTCAGTTCGTCAAATTTCTGCCCTGCTAGAGCTGCCCCGGTCAACTGTAAGTGCTGTTATTGTGAAGTGGAAACGTCTAGGAACAACAACGGCTCAGCCGTGAAGTGGTAGGCCACACATGCTCACAGAACGGCACCGCTGAGTGCTGAAGCGTGTAGCGCCTAAATAATCGTCTGTCCTCAGTTGCAACACTCACTACCGAGTTCCAAACTGCCTCTGGAAGCAATGTCAGCACAATAACTGTTCGTCAGGAGCTTCATGAAATGGGTTTCCATGGCCGAGCAGCCGCACACAAGCCTAAGATCACCATGTGCAATGCCAAGCGTCGGCTGGTGGTGTAAATCTCGCCGCCATTGGAGAAACGCGTCTGGAGTGATGAATCACGCTTCACCATCTGGCAGTCCGACGGATGAATCTGGGTTTGGAGGATGCCAGGAGAACACTACCTGCCCGAATGCATAGTGCCAACTGTAAAATTTGGTGGAGGAAGAAGAATGGTCTGGGGCTGTTTTTCATGGTTCAGGCTCCTTAGTTCCAGTGAAGGGAAATCTTAACGCTACAGCATATAATGACATTCTAGACGATTCTGTGCTTCCAACGTTGTGGCAAAAGTTTGGGGAAGGCCCTTTCCTCTTTTAGCATGACAATGCCCCGTGCACAAACCGAGGTCCATACAGAAATGGTTTGTCGAGAACGGTGTGGAAGAACTTGACTGGCCTGCACAGAGCCCTGACCTCAACCCCATCGAACACCTTAGGGATGAATTGGAACGCCGATTGCGAGCCAAGCCTAATCGCCCAACATCAATGCCCGACCTCACTAATGCTCTTGTGGCTGAATGGAAGCAAGTCCCCGCAGCAATGTTCCAACATCTAGTGGAAAGCCTTCCCAAAAGAGTGGAGGCTGTTATAGCAGCAAAGGGGGAACCAACTCCATATTAATGCTCATGATTTTGGAATGAGATGTTCGACGAGCAGGTGTCTAATGTAGTGTACATTTGGAAAGCGCACACCGGACACAGGCCATGCAACCTCTGTTGGTCACTGGAAGAAAGCGGAGGAGGTGAGAAAGGCAACTGCTCGGAAGCCAGGGACCTGTAAGAAATACAATAACCTTGGGAGCAAAAGCGGCATTAGGATGTAACATCACTTTGGAGTCGCCAGGCGCAAACTCCAAACAGGAAGGGAGTACTGCGATGCCAAGGAAGGGAGTACTGCGATGCCAAGGCCATGAGCAGGGCAGTCTTGTAGGAAAGGACATTCAGGTCCACACTCCAGTGGTTCACACAGAGCATCCAGGACCAAAGCCAGGTCCCAGGTCGGTGCCATAGGCTTAGACACTGGTCTGAGCCGACGTACGCCTTTCAGGATCCGCACCACCAGTGGTGAGACCCCGGGGTAGAGCCGTCAATCCATACATGACATGCCGAGATGGCTGCCATATAAACCTTCAAAGTGGAAAAAGAAATACCCTGCTCAAAAATCTCTTTCAAAAACATCAACATGTCCACCAAAGATCTCTGAAAAGGAGAAACTGCTTTCACCTGACACCAACCCTCAAACACGTGCCAACTGTATAGTCGTAATCACGTTCGAGGGTAAACCCCTAGCTGTCAAATTCAACCTTTCAGGGGCCAAACCCACAGATCCCATATCTGCGGTTGTGGGTGCCAAACTCTCCCGTGCACCAACAACAGATCCTCCTGATGGACCCTCTCCACGTTGGCCTGGATCAGGTCCACCGGAGGAAACTAATCAGAGGTCACTAATAGGTCAGAGGTCACTAATACGCCAAAGCATCCATTCCCAACAGATCCTTCATTGAGAAGAACAGACGACAATGCACGTTTTCTCGCGATGCGTAAAGATCTACGTCGGACCTGCCGAACTGGTCCCATATCTGGGCAACCACCGAGGGGTGCAGTCTCCACTCTGTAGAGATAGGACCCCCCTGGAAAGTAGATCCACACTCACGTTGAGAGACCCGGGAAGATACGTCAACCTGAGCGATAGGAAATGCGCACTGCTCCATGCGAGCGGATAATGGGCCAGGTGTAGGAGAGAGAGAGACCGAGTTAGAGGTCTTCACAGGTCCAAAAAGTTGGAAATGGATCCGTGGCTTTCCCACCCGACCCAATATGCAGAAATACATTTTCAAAAAACGGAGACCCGTTCCAAATGGACCCGAGGACAGTCAGACCCGTTCCGAAAAGGACAGTGGAAAACAGACCCAAACAGACCCGTGCTGTTTCAGAACCTCCAACCTGGGCCCTGCCAACGCCATCAATAAAGAAGCGATATTGGCCAAATGATCCACAGTTACGTGTCCTTAAAAACAAACAAAACAAATTGTAAAAATAATATTTGTGTGCCGGTGCGCACTGCCTTTAGAACTTAATTTAGCTAACAAAAATGTCTCAACAAAATCAAACTATTTAAAGAACTGGTTTAGATTATTAAATAGGCCTACAATTATAATTATAATAATAATAACAATGATTTACAATAATAATAATGACTAAACAATTGATAATATATACAAAAATAAATAAAAGGTAGAAAATTGCATCCAACCTCAATAGCGAGTGGCACATAGTCCATTTGGCCACCCAGTGTTCTTCACATCTTTGTCCACTGCTATATCAAAACTTGTCCCCGAGGACATTCCCCTTGTCGTCCCCGAGGACCTTCCCCTTGTCAGCTTCGTTTCACTATGCTCTTTCTCCTCTAACTTTTGTTTTACTTCAACAAAAAAGGACTCCATCTTCGCAATCAACAGTAGCCTAGGCCAAGGCTCCTTTTACTCACTCTCTCTCTCTCTCTCTCTCTCTCTCTCTCTCTCTCTCTCTCTCTCTCCTCAGCAGCAGGCGTAAGTGAGGTGAGCAGCCGGAACCAGTTTCAGCTGGACATAAGCTGTATGTTTTATTGAGTTTCAATTGGCTGACACAGATAACAAGCTCGCGCAGTTCTCGTCACACAAACACTACATTAACAGAGGACGTCCAATCGGGTCCAGTCGGTAAATCAATTTTAATTGCACATGCCCGAGACCTGTGGCAATTATATCAGACCCGACCCAGATCCGAGACAAAAGTCTGAATTTAGGACCCGGATCCGCCCTGGGTCCCAGGTCAGATCTCTGAATTTCGGGTCTGTTGAAACCGTGAAGACCTTTAGACCGCCTCCCTCCCTACCTGTTGATGCACGCCACCGCCAACACGGGTCCTTCCAAGGAGTCAACGCCCTTTGACACGATGGGGATACCTTGAGCAACTGATGGCAGTAGCGAGATGCATCCAGATGCGTAGCAATCAACCAGCGCTGACACAGACGCATCAACAGAAGTCCAAGAGGCACCACAGCTATCATAGAGGTCATCAGACCCAATAATCACTGGCACAAATGAAAATGCACAGAGTGCCCCAGCTGAAACTGTGCCAGACAGAGCCAGAATGCGACTCTCCACTGTTCAGACAAAACACATGATTCAGAACCAAAGTCCAGAATGAGACCCAGAAACTGAATGTGTTGAGCCGGAGTCAAACAACTTTTCTCGTGATTCACTATGAACCCCTGAGTCTGAATATGGGAAATCAGTGTAGCAGTGTGGAGCTCTACCTGTTCCCTCGACTCCGCTATGACCAGCCAATCATTCAGATAGGTCAATACGCAGATCCCCTGGCACCACACCGGTGTCAAAGCCACGTCCACTACCATAGAAAAGGTGCGGGGTGATAGGGAGAGCCCGAAAGGCAGGACCAGAAACTCGGTGGCCACACCCTTGAAATTAAACCTCAGAAACCTTCTGTGGGGAGGATGTATAGCCACATAGAAATACGCATCCTTCAGATCTATGAACGTGAACCAATCGCTGGGATGCAACGACTGCAATAGCGGCGAAGTGTGAGCAAAGCGAAGAGCTCAAAGCTAACGTAACGCTAGGTAGCCAGCTGGCTAACAGCTGAGAGTGACAGCTGTCTATCACCACATCTGGATGACTAAGTTCCTAAGTGTGGAAAATATATTTAGAGAAAACTAACTTACGACTGAACAGACAAATATAATGGAAATGATTCGCTAAATGACTGACTTTTGCGCCAGCGACAAAAACCATATGGAATGTTCCATGCATCTGGACAGTGGATATAGCCAGAGCCATATACACAAACATATACACAGTTTGGCCAACTTTTAGAATTTGTAATATTGTTGTAATATTGTTTTTTAATAAATGCCATGTGTAATGTTAATGGGGTGCTAACATGGCTGAAGTGTTTGAAGTGTCATGTAGGCTAAATGCATCATAATGCTCATTCTGTTAACGGGAGCTAACATGGCTGCCATAGAATGTGGTAGTGTCATGTAAATGCATCATAATGCAGAAACCTCAATGTCCCAACTGTCTAAACACATGGCTCAGGACATAGCGCAGTGTCGGGAAATCACGTTTTGCAACAAAACACATTCTAAAGCACATCTGAAGTAAATGTCCATAGAAAGAGACCCATGAGCATTAATTTCAGATGAAAAAATGCAAATGTGAAAAATGTGCATTTATCGCGTTTTGGAATCAAACCCTTCATATGCAGGTGAGGTGACAAACAGCTGCATTTCTATGATTGGTTGAACAAGCCTCAATATACTGTGGTCCTCATCATGTATAAGCGCCTGCCCATCCCTGTCTGAGAGGTATCTTCAAACAACACTCAACATTGATGCTCTGATACTTGAAAAGAAAGATAAAGAGAGATGCAGAGCGCTTGACGTGCTTGAAAAATATATTCTTCGTCCATGACTATAATACAGATAATACTTGAAAGTGACAGCTACCTGCTATGGGACTCTGCATATAGAGAGTCTCTTCATCTTAATTTCAACTCGTCAGGTGCTTTGGAGTTTATTTTTGTATTTCAGGTCATTCATTTGCACACTCACTCCCAGTCTCTTGTCTTTCTGTTTCACTTTCAGGCACTCTACTTGCCTACTAGTTTTTGCTCATAGACATAGTACAGTCATACACCTTCATACATACACACAGACATACATGTATACATCAATCTAAAGTACATTCTCCCAGATAGCCAAAATACCAACTGTTCTACAGTGCAGGTTTACTCTAGAGCTCAGACTCACTCTTACGCTAACCTGCTTATAAAAGAGTCCCTCAGTATGAAGCACTTTAAGCCCACAGACCCACTCTCACAGCAACCTAGTCATTCATAATACTCTTTCTCACTCGCCACTGGACCAAATAACCAGAATAAATCATATCTATTCTGACAGTTCTGTCTTCAACATTTTGACTCTCTTCCTTCCTTCACGCTGTTGGACCATGATATGAACGCTGTGAATGTTAGTCAACATTTGTCTCACCAAAGTCTAATGTAAAGGTGATCTCTATTCCTCACCTGTGACTGGTGCTTCTATGTCCAGCATGGTTTTCTCCTGGCGCAAGATGGCGGCGCCCTCATTGACGATGCGTAGTGCCACGGCCTCCTCCACGCGGCCCTCCTTGGTGAGGTGGGCTTTGAGCAGGTCCACCCTGGGCTTCCCCTCACTGTCAAACACCTCCTTCAATGTGAGGTGATGACTCAGGGGGAAGGGCACGGCTGAGGAGAAAACAGAGACAACACAGTGAGACAGCACAGTGAGACAACACACCCCAATGGGACGAGAAGACAGATCGTAATCACCTGCTCTGAGACTAGGACACAAATACTTCACACCTAAAGTTAAGCACTGGGAACAGATCCCAAAGAATTCTAATCGCATAATGTCTTGTTAAAAAAATTATAATAGCTGGCCAATTACTTTATGTGATAATGTTTGCAAGCTACTTTAACTCTGGTCCAGATTGATGATGCAGAGGTTTATTCTACATTGGCTAGCTTGTCCTTCCTATGACGCTAGTTCCCTCTGCGGGATGTATTGTACAGGGAACATGACTTCATGTAGTACAGTACAATCCTATCCAAATGCTGAGGGACCTGGATATAGGAGGTGGGGTAGATGAGAGCCAATGAGAAGAAGAAACAGACTCATCAAATCAAACCATCATGAGACAGGAAACAAAGACCACTCCCCTTAGAGACCCTCACACTGTATATCAGCACACTGTATATCAGTTGAACACCGAGCATCAATTGTACAGCCAGCTCACAGGGGGAAACCGGATACCAAATAGCCTGAGAGCAGTATTGCAATAAAAGCATTGCAGAGTGTCTATCAGCAGACCTGCACAGAGCCCAACACAGGTGCGTTGAAACATTTCATTAGGAGCTGCCTGGTGTGGCGCTGTTCAACGGCCGTGGTGCTGAATCGGGCGACCAGTCCCATGTTTCAGTTCGTGCTGGTGCTGAATGTTTGTGTGCCACTATGAGGACACAACAAGGGATCGCCACAGGTTAGTTAGATGTCTTCATTGTACCGGCTTCTACAATTCAAGTTACAACAAATGCCTAATACAGATACTCTATCCTCCAATACTTTGGTTACAACTGCTCAGCCCGTTCAGTTTTGGTGCTTATATGCATAAAGCTTACCCCGCCCTTCAAGACACCTTAAAGAAAGTCAAACTCTTTTTTCTTTATGCATAAATTGCAGAGCGGAAAGTTCTGTCTCAGAATGCATGACAGAATGCTGTCAAGCTGAAACAAATCCTCCCAAATTGTGACCTACTTTAATTATGGATGCGTCCACAGTTTATTATAATTTATTAATCGCTGTAAATTTACAATCTATAAAAATCAAAAATCCATATTCTGAAGTATGTATAAACAGTTTAACAAAAGTCTGCTCAACATAGAGTAAAATGGGCATTATTTACCACTACTATCTGAGTAGTTACTGTATGTATTTCCAATCCCTAAAAAGAGGGAACTGATGGTATTGTATTCCAACAGGGGGTGCAGTAATTTTTGATGTGAAAGCCAATATTACTGTAATACGACAGGAAACAAAACTTTAATTTGAAGGAATAACTTCACTGGGTCGTTAATACAAATCTAACACCATGAATAAGACAGTACCTATCTAGCAGACATCCTCTGAAAAACATCACATCCATTGCTTTGGGAGCAACAAAGGGACTTTTCTGCATAGAAGCTGATCTGTGTATGTCAGTGGGCGAAGACTTTGGTGTTGGCTTTGCATGCTGCATAATATAAAAGGTTTAAACCAAAATAATTTAGCCACGCTTACTGATGCAGCAGCCTTTCTCATTGCTGGACCTGCAGCCTTACTATGAAAGAAGGTTTGCATTCCAATCAATCGGTCATAGACAATTATGTTTGATTCAGATTGGATACTAAATCCAACACCGTTGTGCTCTTATATCACGGACCAGTTAGAATGAAAACCAGCACACATCAGGCAGGTCCTTTGACCCATAGGACAATGCAACTGTGAACTCACAACTATATAGACCTGGGGTTTTCATCACCCAGTAACACTAATAATAATAATAATAATAATAATATGCCATTTAGCAGACGCTTTTATCCAAAGCGACTTACAGTCGTGCGTGCATACATTTTTTTGTGTGTATGGGTGGTCCCGGGGATCGAACCCACTACCTTGGCGTTACAAGCGCCGTGCTCTACCAGCTGAGCTACAGAGGACCACACACTACTGTACAAACCTATACAAGTATTTGATTGGATAGAGATTCCCTCACCAGTGTCTCGGCTCTAAACCTGTTGCTGACTGAAATGTAATAATAAATGCCAGCTGAAACCATGACCTAAAGCAGAGTGGTGCTCCACCCCCTTCAATATGGTTGTCTGAGACAAACACACACACACAGTGCAATATAGCAATATGGCCAAGTTTGTCGGCTAGAGATTTGTGTTGCTCAGTGCATGTGGTTATGGGGAGCTGCTGAGCTGAGCGCTGGTGGAATGGAAGAGAGAGAGCAGAGAGATCTCCGAGCTGAGGCTCAATGTAATCAACATGTTGCTAAATAATGGATGCTTGACTAGAGGGGGAAAAGAGAGAACTCTCATGTTCCTGCTGCTGGGATAATGAGCCCTGGCCTGGCATGAGATTTTCACTGGGGTAAATGAATCCCAGTCAACAGTGTGTGTGTGTGTGTGCGTGTGTGTTTGTTTTATCTGTGCACTGTGTCTGTGCATGTGTGTGAAAGTCCATGTTAGTGTATGTCTGTGTGCGTTTGTGTTTTGGGCTAGTGTATTTGCCTGAACGGTGAATGTTAATGTGTTTGTCTCTGTGCTTACATATACTGTAGGTGTGTATACCTGACTGTATTGTGTTTCCAAATAAACACTGAGTGTACAAAACACTCGATGCCAGACTAACCAGGTGAATCCAGGTGAAAGCTATGATCCCTTATTGATTTCACTTGTTAAATCCACTTCAAATCAGTATAGATGAAGGGGAGGAGACAGGTTAAAGAAGGATTTCTTAGCCTTGAGACAATTGAGACATGGATTGTGTAAGTGAGCCATTCAGAGGGTGAATGGGCAAGACAAAAGATTTAAGTGCCTTTGAAAGGGGTATGGTAGTAGGTGACAGGCGCAACGGTTTGTGTCAAGAACTGCAACACTGCTGGGTGATTCACGCTCAACAGTTTCCTGTGTGTATCAAGAATGGTCCACCACCCAAAGGACATCCAGCCAACTTGACACAACCGTGTGAAGCATTGGAGTCAATATGGGCCAGCATCCCTGTGGAATGCTTTCCACACCTTGTAGTCCATGCCCTGATGAATTGAGGCTGTTCTGAGTGCAAATCAATATTAGCAAGGTGTTCCTATTGCTTTGTACACTCAGTATATGTACGAGTTTGTGCAATTACTTGGAGCAAATAAATGTGCCTGTTTCTTAATGTTTGTAAAAGGACACACTGTATGTGCTAGTGAATTTTGAGGCTCCTAAGTGTTCCCCCTCAACGCTATAAACCAGATAGTGTTCTCACTGCTAGCAGGAGCGAGATGAGGCAGATCTGTGTGATCAAGAGAACGTGTCACAATCTCAGTGGCCTGTCTGGTGCGTTTGTGACTCAGTCTAACCGACAGACGTCACTGAACAGCCACTCAAATAGACTCAAAGAGCCCTAATGGTAGAACCGCAGTGGTAGGTGCTGTGCCTAATAAAGAGACTAGAGATCCTGCATGCCTGGTGTGTTTGTAGACATGTCTGTATGTGTTTGTTAGTGTGCATAATTCCCTTAGTGTATGTATTATCACAACAGACAGTACTGTCCTTCTGATACTCTCTAACGCTAAAAGACTGAGAAGTCAGGGAGATACTGGTGGACATTAGAGAGGGGGAGAGAGAGAGGGATGAGAGAGTAGAGGAGAGCAAGAGATAAAGAAACATTTGAAGAAACTGAGAAAAGGAGGGAGGATTTAGAGGGAGAGAAATGGAAGACAGTAATGAGGGAGAGAATACCAGGCATGGTGAAAACACACTAGAGAGAGAGAGAGAGAGAGAGAGAGAGGGGGGGGGGGGGGGGGGTGAGATGGGAGCTCACTTCGACTGGGTGCCCAAGCTGAGTTGAACTGTGGTGTATGTTGCCGGGCAACAGCAGCTAACTATTGGAGTACAGCCAGTGCCAGCGCGAAATACTGTGATTTGCAAGGGAGGATCACATCGATGCAGATCTATAGGGGCTTCACATACTGTACAGAGACATACTGTATTCACTTGTTCTCTCCTTTTATGAAGCACAATTTCCCCAGGACAACGCTGAAAGGGCAGGAAGCTTATATTTGCAATTACAATAAATTGAATAAGGATTTCAATAAACAGGAGACTAACAACACAAATATAGCTTTTCACCCATTCTGCTGTTCCATGGACTTATCATTATTGTATAGCCTACACTAATTACCACCAGATAGATTTCTTTGAAAAAGAAACATGTACCGTACCTTCATTAATGAATGGTAATATATGCCTTCCTGCCCTTTTCTTTTATTACAGCCAGTCTACTGTATATCACCCTGTCCAGCTGCCATTAAACATTACCAGGCTGGATGCGGCAGAGAGGGGGGGGGGGGGGGGGTGTTGGTTGAACACTGCCCATGTTTCTACCTAACTACTACAACAGCAGCAGTGACAGTGATATACATTAATACTCTCCATCCAGCCCTGGCATCCTGTCAATCTGTCCACACGTACAGCACACTACTCCTCCTCTAGGTGTTTAGCTACTGTCTGTCTGTCTGTCACGTCTCTGGCCCAGGCTTGTGTTAGCTAGCTGCACCTGTCACTTGTCTCAGCCCTGCTTCTACCAAACCTGCTGTCCCCCTTCTGTCTGGGCCTGTGACCGTCTTCATTACCACACAGGAATATGTGGCAGGGAGGGATGTTGCTCCAGGACTAGAGCTCTTGTGGTTTATGTCATCTTAACGTTGTAATGGACCTTGTACATAACTAAGAGTAGAATTTAAAACCTCAATGCACTCTGCAAACAATTGTGGGAACATGTGGGACATTGTGGAAACGTGCAATATGCTTACTATTACAAGTTGCTAAATCATACTCTACTTAGGTACAGATTCCCGCCTAAGCCATATGCAGTGTTGCCAGCAAGCTTTTCTTTTACTAAATAGACAAGACTAGAGACACATGGAGATATTATTAATAACATGGAAAACAATGTTGCATAATCATTTGGGTGACAAGAGGTTTTGTTGTGGTTCCATCTCTTGTGTGCACTGTGAATAACTCTGACCTTAAAGAGTCCAGACAATACCAATTTTGATGTTCCATCTATTTTGTTCGGTCTGTTATTATTGTTGTGATTATCACCGTACTCCATTTAATTGGGATTGTGTAGCTGTTGGGATGACTGAAGGGTTTGTTATCATAGCACTCAACAGCCTGAGATGCAAATGTTTGAAATGTCTAAATGAGTGTGTTCACTGATTGGACCTACGTTGACCCTGTTTCTTTCCCGTGCAAAACCCCAAATGTGCAGAGCCCTAAAGTGCATTCTGCCTGCTTGCACGGAGTCTGCCTGGCCGTATGGCAGCTTGCGGCCCTCAGATCAGCCCATGCATGAAAACCCAATATGCGAAAGACTGGGAAGAGAAGGAGCCAAGGAGGAAGCCATGTTAGCGGGGATCTGAACAGAGCAGCCAGGGCAGGCACTGGGCAGTGTGTGTTTGACCAGTCTACATTACTGATGGTGATGTCCCACAACCACAACAGGTAAACTCAGTTGAATTAGAGCAGCACATGGCTCTTCAATTATGCATAGAGCATACATTTGGACATTTACAAAATGACAGAACTCAGTCATCGGTTCATGTCTCTTTTTGTCACCACCCCATGATGGTTCTAGGAGATGGTTCTATGACCTATCTTCTAGGTGCTATGTTCTATGTGTTCCTTTAGTGTTCTGTCCCCTACTAAACCATGTAGTGTAGGCTATGTCCACTGGCCATAATCCATGTCTCCCCCTCCAACTGTATACTTTAAGTAGCAACGCACATTTCAGCTATCTATTTCCTGTGTTTGAGGGGTGCAAAATCCACTTGTCACTTAAATCTCGCTGGATTGATTGCTTTCATTTTACTCCTGCGACTCTTTCATACTCTTGCTTGTGCCTGTCATTTTCCCCCGTTAACGTTACGGCCGCGTAAATGTTTATAATGACCTGTCAAACACACCCCGGTAATGGCTGAAATGGGCCCAATTAAATACATTGTCTTTCCGTTACATCTATAAGAATGCTAAAACTTTGTCGGGTATTTAACGCATCGTCTCGACACTTACATCACAAGAAAGAGAAGAAAGATAACTTTATTTTGGGTGTTCATTTTTTGTAAAAAAAATAACATAAATGTAATACAGTTCAAATGTTTCCAAATTAGATGCGTTGAAATGAAAGCAACTTCCCAAAATGAACACACAGATATAGTGATATTATCTCAGATTTTACAAACAATGTAAAGTATGTATAGATAGGTGTAATATGGAGCCAAGCTTGTTGATTTTTAATCCGAGGGTATCCTGCTATTGACACACTTGTTGAATTATGCAACAGAACGTGACAACAACAGTAATTAATGAGGCAGTCTAGAAAGCACAGGTGTGTGCCGGTTGTCATGCGAAAATCTTCCCAGCGTGAAATAGTTCCCAATCGTTCTGATTGTGTTGTGATTGTGACGTCATGTTGTAAACATTCTCACAGCGTTCCCAGTCAATAATTGCATGTATAGATAGGTGTGGATGGCTGAGCTCTTGCAGATGTTTCTCTCACACCTCCTCGCCCTTGATTTATCTAGCTAACTAGCATAATTAGCTGTAAACTGGTCGAGATGGCTTGTTCTAAGAGGTGTGCAGTTTTAACTTGTTTGTATAGCTAACTAACTAACAAACATACATACAAATACAGTATATATATATGCTGTCAATCGATATATACTGTCAATCGAAGACGTAGCGCCCAAGTCTTTGCAATCACAAAAAAACTCTCCTCACATCAACCCTCAGCACTTCGACGTGCGAGTCCGGGTATTTATATGCTGACCTCACGCCTCAACAAGCTTCTGATTGGTCAGAGTCAATACTCCTGGCCACCATTGATTGGCAGATGTGTGAAGCAAATGCGCGTGCGCACAGTTTTTCGAGGTGGAGGGAGGGTGTGAGGGAAACATTCGCATGAGCTCAGCCATCCACATAAAGAGATGCGCGTGCAATTATTCAACTGGGAACACTTTCACGCTGGGAGACATTTTACAGCATGGCGTCACAATCAGAACACAGTCAGAACAATCATAATGACTGGGAACTATTTCACCCTGGGAAGACTTTTACATGACACAGGTAGGCCTAGACCAGTGGACAACAACCTTTTCTGAGTCAAGTCAAGATCACTTTCAAAATGCAAGCCGATATCTACTGTTCAGATTTATTTTTAACATGACTTAAAACATTTAAGCATATGCAACATTAATCGACTTAAAACAGTACTGTAGTAATGAGGTTTGTGCAGTAGGCTATAGGCCCAAAACATTATCACCGCATATTTGCTTTGCTTGAATTGCCCTGCTAATGCATTGTTGTTCATCTCAGACCATTAACAAATATACAGTACCAGTCAAAGGTTTGGACACACCTACTCATTCAAGGGTTTTTCTTTATTTTTACTATTTTCTACATTGTAGAATAATAGTGAAGACATCAAAGCTATGAAATAACACATATGAAATCATGTTGTAACCAAAAAAGTGTTAAACAAATCAAAATATATTTTATATTTTAGATTCATCAAAGTAGCCACCCTTTGCCTTGATGACAGCTTTGTACACTCTTGGCATTCTCTCAACCAGCTTCATGAGGAATGCTTTTCCAACAGTCTTGAAGGAGTTCCCACATATGCTGAGCCCTTGTTGGCTGCTTTTACTTCACTCTGCAGTCCAACTCATCCCAAACCATCTCAAGTGGGTTGAGGTCGGGTGATTGTGGAGGCCAGGTCATCTGATGCAGCACTTCATCACTCTCAGTACTCCATCACTTGGTCAAATAGCCCTTACACAGCCTGGAGGTGTGTTTTGGGTCATTGTCCTGTTGAAAAACAAATGATAGCGCCACTAAGCGCAAACCAGATGGGATGGCGTATCGCTGTAGAATGCTGTGGTAGCCATGCTGGTTAAGTGTGCCTTGAATTCTAAATAAATCACAGACAGTGTCACCATCAAAGCACCCCCACACCATCACACCTCCTCTTCCATGCTTCACGGTGGGAACCACACATGCAGAGATCATCCATTCACCTACTCTGTCTCACAAAGACACAGCTGTTGGAACCAAAAATCTAAAATTTGGACTCATCAGACCAAAGGACAGATTTCCACTGGTCTAATGTCCATTGCTAGTGTTTCTTGGCCCAAGCAGGTCTCTTCTTCTTATTGATGTCCTTTATTTATTTGGGCTGCAATCTGAGGTGCAGTTAACTCTAATTAACTTATCCTCTGCAGCAGAGGTAACTCTGGGTCTTCCTTTCCTGTGGCGGTCCTCATGAGAGCCAGTTTCATCATAGCGCTTGATGGTTTTTGCGACTGCACTCGAAGAAACTTTCAAAGTTCTTGACATTTTCCAGATTGACTGACTTTCATGTCTTAAAGTAATGATGGACTGTCGTTTCTCTTTGCTTATTTGAGCTGTTCTTGCCATAATATAGACTTGGTATTTTACCAAATAGGGCTATCTTCTGTATACCACCCCTACCTTGTCACAACACAACTGATTGGCTCAAACGCATTAAGAAGGAAAGAAATTCCACAAATTAACTTTTAACAAGGCACACCTGTTAATTGAAATGGATTCCAGGTGACTACCTCATGAAGCTGGTTGAGAGAATGCCAAGAGCGTGCAAAGCTGTCATCAAGGCAAAGAGTGGCTACTTTGAAGAATATAAAATCTAAAATATAGTTTGATTTGTTTAACACTTTTTTGGTTACTACATGATTCCATATGTGTTATTTCATAGTTTTGATGTCTTCACTATTATTCTACAATGTAGAAAATAGTACAAATAAAGAAAAACCCTTGAATGAGTAGGTGTGTCCAAACTTTTGACTGGTACTGTATATATTTCAATATTTGAGGTAGGCTACATGATCACACCAGTTGTTTTATTACTTGTGAGGCACAGCTGAGTGAGAAGAAATTGTAATAATTAGCTCTTTTTAAAAATCTTACTGGGCTGATGGAGCCTGCATCTGATGGTCAGTCTCAGCAGAGGGAGAGGGCAGCAATAGTGTGCAACTGCACCCCCCCCCCCCACGAGCATCCCATTGGTTCCTGCATGAACGCACCCCCTTGAGCACCTCATTGGTTCCTGCATGAATACTCCCCCTCCATCGAGCACGACATCTTCATGCTTGTGACACTTTTGAATGTGGGTCAAAAGGGAAATAAAAGTATTATCTGAGTTATTTTGCACTCACCTGCCGGAGTCCTCCTTGCTAGCTAGCGGGAGCGACACCAGTAGACAGTGTCCTTCGCTCCCGCCTGCCGAACACCCGCCCTCACTGTCATTAACAGAACTGCAGGAAAACAGTGCCTGACAGCTAGCTAAAGAAACAGTACCGGTGTACGGCTAGCTAGCTGCCGTTGTCGCCTCCGCTCCTTCTTCTGCTTCTGTGGGTTTATCGGCGGCTGGCATCCAACATTATTGTGCATTAACGCCACCTACTGTACTGGAGCGCCACTGCCCCCTGCCTGTCCTAGCTTTAAAAGTTACCAATAGAAGTATAAAGAGGGGTTACCGGAGATGCAGGAATACCCACATGCAGGAACGGCCACATGCAGGAACGCCCACACG